GGAAGACGATTATAATCTCGCCAAGATAAGTCCCTCGTCGATAGCCATTTCCTTGTGCGACTTCGAATAGGTGAATTTCGGATGCCAGATTTGGTGATTACTCTAGTCTTCGTCACGGATGTAATTAGATTTGTGAGATTGTCAGTAAATTTCTTCCAGGCGACTAATGGATTGGATTCTTCGTCATAGGAAACCCACTGAGTAGAGAGCGCCAAGTTATGCAACAGTGTTAAGTCTATAGATCTGCACATGGTACCTGGGGAACGTCCTTGAATCGAAGCGTAGCAAACATTTGAATGTAAGTACTACATGATCGCTGCGTCCTAGGGGGAAGTCACATTGACAGACTCTACCATCAGCTCCTCATTAATCAACACTAAATCCAGTATGGACGGCGACTATAGGTTTCCAAACCTAGTGGCCACCTTCACATGGTTGTATAGTCATTGAGCAATTTGAATTGATGTTCGAAAATTGGACGGACGGTCGCTGATTTGTTGAGACTGGGGCAGTTGAAATCACTCATAAGAAGAACATGGGTAAATTTTTGTATAAGAATAAGTGACAGAAGAAGCGTTTCATTCACCGTCTCCAGAGGAACGATAGACTATACCAATCAAACAATCATTATGTTTGGACAATTTCAACTTACACCACATAGTGTCCGGTATCGAAACGGGAGGGTAGATTTGCTCGCAATCAAGACTGTTTCGGTAGTATAGTAAAACACCACCACGAATAAGACGATCGCTTCTGAGTAGAGATATCTCGGATAAAGACAAGTCGGAGTCCGACATATCAACTTTGAGTCAAGTCTCTGTAACAGCCATAATATCTCCCTGACTAGATATAAAGCGTAAATTAAACTCTGGAAATTTGCCCAGGGGTCTTTGAGCATTGGTGTAACAACAGTTTAAATACTGTCGGTGTAGAAATCCGCTTAGGTAGGAAATGGTATCTCGGCCGACTCCTTCGCGATCGGCTACCATTAGTTTTTTGGCAGATCAGCTCTGGTACTTTGGACCACGGGTTACGTGACGGAGTTCGGTACCTGCATGGTGTGATCGGGTGCATCAGAAGGGTTCTCCAGATTTGGGCGTGCTTTGAGTCCGGGATTGAGTAGGGGTCTCACACATAGTTCCGGAGGCCCTCTGTTCTTTCCCGCCATAACTGTAAGACTGTGTTTGTCATTTCTGGAGTTCCAAGGGTAAATTTCATTATTATCGGACCGTTACCACGGTAATGTGGTGAACAGGGAAGACGACTGATTGAGTTTGTCAAAAGGTCGCTACACTCAAATAGATTTTGAATGAATCGCCATTCTCTTCGGTCGTTTTGATAACCTTTTGGTTCATCCGGATCGTCCAACTGGGGGACACCATGGATGAGGACGACCCTCTTATTTTCCTCCAGCCCTGCTCTCATCAGATCGGATTGATGCTGCTTTCGTTCCGTCCATAGCCTATCGATCATTAAGCTGTCATAACAGGAACCCTTTAAACTTTCAATTTAGACGTATTATGTTTGGGAAACACTCATACAAAACACCCTACTTCAATTGTTGTCATGCGTTCTCCTGACTGAGCCTCGTCCTCACGTTCGCTGTTCGTGTGACGGGCGATTTGGCATTCATCACTCGCGTAGTTGCTGGTTTTAGGATTGCGCCAAGTGCCAAAGCTGTGCACTCGCTTCCTGGCTGGATTCCAGTCAGTATTCTATTATGCGCTTTGCGTCTGGTGCAGTACGGGTTAACAGATACTAACCGAAGCATCGATGCTTATTTGTCGTATCGTTGTGTGCACCGACCGATTGCAGTACGCTTGGAATCAAGGATGAATTCTACAAGGACTTCTGTCAACTGCTCCAAACTACTCGATCCGCTGACATCGTGGTAGTCTCTGGAGACTTCAATGCTCTAGTTGGATCCCTAGACGAATCACAGACATCATGGCGGCCCATATGCAATCCCAGCCAACCGGAGGAACAACGGAGATCTACTTGAACTTTGCGGGGACCACTGATTGATTCTGTCAGGCGACAACTTCTCGCACAAGAAAGGACACCACCTTAGATGGAAACCGGNCGGCAATCTCTTCGCTGCCATGAACCCAAATCGACCTCATCACCATCAGTTGCCGCTGAAGAGGGACAATTGAAGACTTCCACTCTTACTGGTCAACATCTGTGGATACGGACCACGCTTTGTTATTAGTCCACTGCTCTCTTCACCTGGGCTGACTTGCTGGATGCCCATAGAACCTTTCCCTCTGATGCGCACAAACCCTTAAAGGCTTATCAAGAGTTTGAGGGAATGATCGCTAGAAGTGGTGGGTAATAAAATGTACATAAATGGAAAAAACTCCATCTATTGGTAATTTTCGCACTCTTCCGTCTAATTAAGAGTACCAGTTCAAGAAAAGTAGGCTTATGTGATGTAACTGAGAAGTCCGATAGCACACTGATTCATCATAAACAATTCCGTCTCGATCGACAGCCTTAACATTTCGGGACTCATTTCACCTAGCCCCTATCGACATAAGATCTATCACCCCCATCTCGACTAGGCAACTACTCCCTTTTGATGCCAGTTCTTCATTTAAAATGGAGGTTTTCCAGCAAATAAGCTATCCGAAATGATAGAAGGCCTCCAATCCGTATGATCTGTTCCCATCGGATTTTCAGGGCGGAGGTTCAGTATTAGTCTTGGTGTTGACAAATCTACTGGATTGAGTATGGAAGAGGACCAGGTCCAAACGGACTGATGTGAATCGGTCATCTTGCCGATTTACAAAGAAGGTGAACACTACAGGGGAACAAACCTGAGCAATTTTATCTCTAAACTTCTCTTCGATTGTCTACTGCATGTGAAGGGTCTACACGTGAGAACCAGACTGGCATTAGACCCGTTCTAGGTCATATGGATCACATTTTCACCCTTCGCCAATTTCTGGAGCACCCACATCCTTTTTAGACCCACCAATTCTTTTTCTCACTTTTTCTTCCTTTTATTATTTACAAAATGATACAATTTTCAAGAGGGGGGGTTTGGCTAATCAATGGGCTTGTTATCAACACAATGCTGAAAGTCTCTCTTAAAGCGGTTTTCGGCTCAGTTGACCACTATATACCTTGGCGCCTCTTTTCCCTGAATGGTGTGCTCGGGAATTTTATTGTAATCTTACGATCCCCTTATACTAATAACCGAAGCTAATTCCAGGCTTCCAGCACTTTTTCGCCTGATTGGCCACAGAAGGCGGTGTTCGTCAGTTCTGTGTTCTCTCGCTCCGTTTCTGTTTCATTTGGTTATAGATCTGATTATGGGAACAGCCCCATCCTCGTGCGAGGATAGTGGCATCGATCGGCTCCAAGATGGCAAAATGTTTGATCCGGAGTACGCAGACGACATTCTACTGCTAAGTGAAGATTGGCAATTGTTAACTTGAAACAGGTATTGCACCATCGTGACATCCAGTCATCTGTGAAGGGTCTGATTTATGCTGCAGCGTTCCGGCCAATTCTGGTATAAAGGGACACTGTCGGTGTTCGAACACAGCTCTCTACGCAGCATTGCACGAGTGTGTTGGGATAACCAGACAAGCAAGGCTGAGGCTAGACACACGGTTTTATGTAACCACGGCTGCTCGCGGTAGCAAGTGGTTGACTTCTATAGACTACGTTGGCTGGGGAATGACATCACAAAAAGCAGATGACTATCTTCTATTCTGAGCCATCTTTTACGCATGTCATTACATAGGTTGCCACGGCGGACAATGTTATCCCAAGCCAAGCGTGATCAAACTCAGATCTGGTATGATTGTATGAAAACCCTAGCCAGGAGACTCGGTCATGTAGGTCGCGTTGAGCTCCGTGAATGGAGACCTCTGGATCAGAGTAATCAATGGCCAGATACACTGAGTGATATGATCGAGTGTCGTGAACAGTGGCGCTCATGCATTTTCTGAATTTCTTTGCAATCTTAGTTTACTGAAATTCTCCATTTTTCCTTCGACCCTAGTTTTAACTTTTCTGTATTCTACTGCTTCATCTAAGTGTGCAGCAAAGAGAAAGCAACCAAAACCGGCGCACGAATTTTCGTGTATAATGGTTGTACAGAACGAAATGAACTGAACTCAGCCCTATGTTTCTGGTTGTTTGACTGTTGATTGTTGTGTGAACAAACGTCAGTACTTTATTTGTACACAAAATTTTTCACCGGTTCGCAGATGATGTCAACGAGTAACCAAATTGTGTTTAGTCGAATGAGAATGGCGTTTATGTCTGACTGGAGTATCCTGGGTATGATTTTCTCTTATCTTAGGAACTTGAATTTCGTGTGTGACATGCAAGTAAACAGATTGAAAGTTTTTACATGATTTGTGTCTCGATTGCACGTATCTTCTTGTGATTTTGATTGCACGTTCCCTTACCGACGGCGCACGTTTGATATATGTGAGCGGAAATGTGTAAAATATCTCGCACTTGAAACGCAACTCCTGCATGACACCATGACAGAGCTGATCTCCACTGTTACGACGGCTTCTTTGTATGCGATAGGTTCCGGTAATTAAGACCTTTGTTTCAGAGTAAGAAACCTAACCCAAATATGATTGGTGTTGGTGCTCATCAAAAGAACGGTCAAGGAACTGTTCAGCGGATTGTATTCTGTCTGAAACCCATGTTAACTGTACTGTTCACAGTTACCGTGATGTCGCTTTCCAAACTGCACTGTTTGGTTCTTGCGCCACTCGATTAATAGAATATGCTACAAGTTTAAGGCATGCGAAGAAGAACGGTCGCCTTTTCAAATTTCATCAGTGCAATGATTAACAGCTGAAGTACTAGCCATGGGTTTCTTTGCATTCAATCGCAATCGTTTAGTATTGCTTTGTATACTTCAATCGTTTTTTCATAACTTTCCCCACAGAACAAACAAGTCGCAGATGGTGAATCTTCCACACACCAATCCAACAAGCCGTCTCTCGGTCAGCTTGTTTTTGTTGCTGACCAGCTCGCTCATTTCCCCTATTCCGTACTGGATGAAGTCCTGTTCATTGCGTACCATATTGAGCAACGTCTGAGTGTCAGCGGCTCTTCGCTCATTCGTTTGGTACAGCATTCGTTACTTTCATCAATCTTGCGTACTGATGCGGATTTGAATCGTCCGAAAAAAGAAACCGTTTCGGACAAAACCCAAGCCGAGACCCGTTTGACAAATCTTATTGAGGCTGCTGAGACCAAATTATTGAAAATGGAGCGGCATTCCGAAAGTTCGTCTGAAGGAACGAATAAACCAGATTGGGATCAGGGAGGTAAACTCCATTCGTTGTTCGAACAAGCATCTCATTCAAACGCGAAAGCCCGTCAAGCTATGATTTCCCAGGGCCCAGTTTGTTGGCTACTACTTACTCTGCGTCAACACCTACGGGATATTTTCGGAGTAACCGATAGGTGAATCTTCATTTTGATCTGTGATAATCGCTACCAAACTGACACATTTCTTGCTTCACATTATTGTGATAATGTAGTCCCTTTAGCTTTGCATACGTGTTTCCTTTATGTGTTATTTCATGGTCAAAATAGGTTTATTGGTCGATGTCTTTCAACATTTGAGTTTGAGAACTTTGGTAGTGATAGTTGGCTGAGTTATTTTTGTACCGAGCTTCATGAATTATGTTTATGACTATATTTAGGTTTCCCATAGACAATCACGACCTCTGAACTAAATGGTGCGCATAGCTTGTCGGTTTTTGCGACTTGGTGATCTTTTTCATCATGGTGGTGATGGTGAACAGGGTTGAAAGAGTAGATGATAGTCACGTGGATCAGTGTGACAAGCGTTTTTCTGTTTGATGCTGTGTTCTGTCGTATGGAATGTTTGTTAACGCTCGCATCGATCGTGTGGTTTTCACATTGTCGAACGAACCAATCATTGAACTTTTAGTCGCGTTTATCATTTCGGAACATTTTATGCCGGAGCGTATCCATACGCGTTTTATGACGCTGTGGCACGTGTGCCGCTTTGTTGGTGGATATGTGAATAGTTTGACCTTTTGTGGTTCTTCACGTTTGTTTCGTTGGCACGATCATCGATCACCTGGATTGGTTGATGAAGCTGTGCTGACTGATTCACCGATCAATCAGAATTCACTTCAGCTCGGTCGTTTTTGATCATCAAGATGATTGTCTAAAACCGACGATCATTTCGGTTGTGACTATTGAATATCGTTGCGTTGTCAGCTCTCAGCACGCGGCTGACATTGTAAATTCATTTCCCCCTGACTTATATGAGATGCTAGTCTATTTGATCGTCCAAGTTAGCTCTCGGTAGGGACTCCACGGAGCTCATTCCTAGGTTTCCACAAGAGCGTTTTACCTGGAAAACGGTGTTAGCATTTTACATACATTTATGTATTTTCACATTATTTTTCGTCCATACTGTCTCTCAAATAAATCACGATACAAGTATCTTTATGAAAAGAAACGTTCCATGATTCTCTTTGAAAGCGCCATACTACCAGGTTTCCCAGAACAAAGTAGGTGAATTTTCTTGGGAAACCCAGACCCGGAGCCTCCGGTAACCGTAAGGCAGCGATGCGGTGCGTGAAAACCCCAATCCTGTTCCTCGGGTCACACACTTCGAACGGGGGCAAACGTCCAAAGTGTCCGATAGAATCGTTGAGTACTGCCGGGACCAGGAAGGTTTTGGTGTTGTTAGTACGCCTCTTCTCGCTTAGTTTTGAATCTGGATTTTTAGTCAACACCTTAACGTGACCTGATAGTAGTTAATTGACCCAGTTGTATCTCCGGATGTAGGTCCATCACGACGAGACTGCACCTTGACGTGGTGTGATGGCTTGCGTGCCTCCATGACCCTGCGAGCTACACAGGATGGCTTTACACAGCCGTAGATCCAATCATACCTGAAAGGTCAACGGG